AGGCCGGCATGCTTTCAGATGATTGGACTTCAGTTCCCAGAATCCCCCAGACACCATGTATGGACTTCAACTCCCAGAATTCCTGGGCCGGCATGCTTTCAGATGATTGGACTTCAGTTCCCAGAATCCCCCAGCCATCATGTATCGACTTCAACTCCCAGAATTCCCAATGAGCCTGCTGTCAGATCTGTTAAAAAGAATGAAAAAGGGGGAAATGGTGTAGCAAACAAAGCAATAAAAGAAATAAAACAAGATAATTAAACACCAATCAGACAACTTATGCTAAGTTTGATTTTCTTTTCAATATTAGCCAAACTTTTCTCTTTCTGATTTTTTCAGCATTAGAAATTTCCCTCCCGCCCCTTATTCTGAATCCACAAATCACCCTTATGATTGTCTCAGCCTCCCCAGGGTCCCTTGGCAACTGACTCGTATTTGTGACGGTTGCAGTGTCCCGGGGTTTATAGGATCCCCTTTTGCGAGACCTCTCAAGAGCAAAGTCAAGGGGGAAGCCAGATTCACTTAACAACCGCTTTTCTAACTTAACAAATGCAATAATTCACTTAACAACTGCAGAAAGGGAAGGGAAAGGAAGTAAATAGATGATGAAGGGGAAAAGAAGGAAGTAAATGGATAAGAAAGAAGAAGGGAAGGAAACAAATAGGTGATGAAGGGAAGGAAGTAAATAGATAAAGAGGAAGGTAAGTAAATAGACAAGAAAGGGTAAGGGAAAGAAGTGAATAGATGGTGAAGGGAAGGAAGTAAAGAGATGAGGAAGTGGAAAGGAAGGAAGTAAATAGATAAGAAAGAGGAAGTGGAAGGGAAGAGAAAGGAAGCAAATAGATGATGAAGGGAAGGGGAGGGAGTAAATAGACAAGAAAGAGGAAGGGAAGGGAGTAAAGAGATGAAGAAGGGAAGAGAAAAGGAAAAGGAAAGGGGGAAGGGAATTTTGATCTTTCTCTATTCTACGCTGCAACTATTGTTCACTGAATCAAACCAGCCCGTATTAAGTTTTCAGATAAGGCAAAGCGAATGCAAACAAACATTTGAGGAGAGAGGATGAGTCCCAAAGAGGCCACCATTCTTGAGCAACAGGTGGAGGAAGATGAACTGTTGTGTTTTTCTTTTGAAGACCTTTCGCTTCTCCTCCAAGAAGCTTCTTCAGCTCTGACGGGATGGTGGGGAACGGCAAGATTGATACTCCTTGCAGACAGCTGGTCATTGGCATCCCTTTAGAGTAGGGGTGTCAAATGTGATTTCCTTGAGGGCCACATCAGGGTTGTGTTTGACCTCAGCGGGACTGGGGGGGAGGCATGGCCAGAGGGCATGGCAAGCATGACATCACTTGTGTCCTGGGGGGACCTGTGGTGGCCTGAGCACACTGCCAGCCAAAACGGACTCCCGAGCTCCATTTTCAGTTTGGACAGCCTCCTGCAGCCCAAGCTCCGTTTTCAGCTGGGACGGCCTCCTGCAGCCCAAGCTCCGTTTTCAGCAGGGACAACCTCCTGTAATCCCTGCGATGAAAACAGAGCATGTAAGGAGCATGCATGATCCTCGTGACATCTGTTTGTGCTGGCAGAGGCACCATGGGCCAGTCTGCTATTTCCAGGGCAGCTCCATTTTCAGCTGGGACGGCCTCCTGCAGCCTGAGCTCCATTTTCAGCTGGGATGGCGTCCTGCAGCCTGAGCTCCATTTTCAGCTGGGACAGCCTCCTGCAGCCCGAGCTCCGTTTTCAGCTGGGACGGCCTCCTGCAGCCCGAGCTCCATTTTCAGCTGGGACGGGCTCCTGCAGCCCGAGCTCCGTTTTTAGTTTGGACGGCCTCCTGCAGCCCGAGCTCCGTTTTCAGCTGGGACGGCCTCCTGCAGCCCGAGCTCCATTTTCAGCTGGGACGGGCTCCTGCAGCCCGAGCTCCGTTTTTAGTTTGGACGGCCTCCTGCAGCCCGAGCTCCGTTTTCGGCTGGGACGGCCTCCTGCAGCCCGAGCTCCATTTTCAGCTGGGACGGGCTCCTGCAGCCCGAGCTCCGTTTTTAGTTTGGACGGCCTCCTGCAGCCCGAGCTCCGTTTTCAGCTGGGACGGCCTCCTGCAGCCCGAGGTCCGTTTTCAGCTGGGATGGCCTCCTGCAGCCTGAGCTCCGTTTTCAGTTGGGACGGTCTCTTGAAGTCCGAGCTCCATTTTCAGCTGGGATGGCCTCCTGCAGCCCGAGCTCCGTTTTCAGCTGGGACGGCCTCCTGCAGCCCGAGCTCCGTTTTCAGCTGGGACGGCCTCCTGCAGCCCAAGCTCCATTTTCAGCTGGGACGGCCTCCTGCAGCCCAAGCTCCGTTTTCAGCTGGGACGGCCTCCTGCAGCCCGAGCTCCGTTTTCAGCTGGGACGGCCTCCTGCAGCCCAAGCTCCATTTTCAGCTGGNCCGGCTCAGAAAAGACGGTTTTTATCTGCAACGCTTCATCGCTCCATCAATTTCCCAAAGGCTTCCCCAGTGAAACCAAGACAATCTCTGTTCAGTCCACCCAGATCTCCAGCCTTGACACAGAGGCCCTGCAGGGTCTTCCAGAGCTCCAGGGGCTCTATCTGACCAACAACCAGTTGAAGACCCTTCCGGGTGGCCTCTTCCGTAACCTCCCACACCTGCTCTCCCTGGATCTTTCCGGAAATCTCCTGGAAGATCTAGCTCCAGCGCTCTTCGCCAATGCAAGTAGCCTGGCCGACTTAATCCTTAGTGAAAACCAACTGGCCGAACTGCGCCCGTCCTGGTTCGATACCTTGGAGGACCTCAGGGCCCTGAGTCTCGACCACAATCAGCTGAAGGAGATCCCAGATTCTTGCTTTCGTAAACTGACCCTGCTGACGTTCCTGGACCTCTCCTCCAACCTCCTCCGCTGCCTCTCTCCGGAGATGTTCAGAGGGCTCACGTCGTTAAGGGTCTTACGTCTGAAAAACAACCCCATCCAGTCGATTGCCCCCAACACCTTCCATGGGACTCCCAAGCTAGGGGACATCTCACTGAGGAACACCAGCCTGACCCATGTTCCAGCTGGGCTCTTTCGGTCCTTGAAGCATCTGGGATGGTTGGATCTCGCCAACAATGATATCGTCTCTCTGGATTTTCCCTTGGTCAACGTGACTTTTGCGCTCAAGCTCGATCTCTCCGGGAACCCCTGGGCGTGTGACTGCCGCCTGCAGGCCCTCTTCAACTGGGTCCAGAAAGATGTCGTGTTTTTGTACCTCGAGGACGTGGTCTGCACTTTCCCCAAACGTTTGAAGGGTCAAGTTGCAACTTCACTTAACGGATCCCAACTTTGTGCCTGCTAAAACCTTCGAGACGGATCTTTTCCCAGCCTGCTCAGCTGGTGTGCTGCAAGATGGATGGACTTCAACTCCCAGAATTCCCAAGCCGGCATGCTTTCAGATGATTGGACTTCAGTTCCCAGAATCCCCCAGCCATCATGTATAGACTTCAACTCCCAGAATTCCCAATGAGCCTGCTGTCACATCTGTTATAAAGAATGAAAAAGGGGGAAATGGTGTAGCAAACAAAGCAATAAAAGAAATAAAACAAGATAATTAAACACCAATCAGACAA